TCCCAACAGCACAGCTCCTCAGTGGCACCAGGAGTCATGAATGCCATTCTCAGATGTGAAGAGGATTCAGAGAGCAAAAAGTACAGGTGGACTCTGAGCAGCTTTGCAGAAGATCAGGTGCTATAAGCAGATATTTTTTACTTATTATAAAAGAATGAGTTTTCACAATTAAAGTCTAACAGTGGCAGCAGCTGCCTTACATGGAAGTGAACACCCTGTTTCTGGAGGTATTCAGTGTTGTCTTTCTGATATACCAAGGACAGCATTAATATCTTGGGAGAGGGGCTAAAATGGAGGGCCCTGAAGGTTCTTTCCAGTTCTAATATTAGAAGCTATTGGACACGGAGCCCCACATTCCATAAATAAGGCTCTCTGCCCCACCACCCCGGGGCCCGCCACCAGTGTGCTTCCCATCAATAACAATGGGTTTTCTGCCCATTTCCCCCACTAAGGCAGAGGTCACGTGTCACTTACCTTTGTGCTGTCACTGCCTGACACTGTACCTGGCATACAGTAAATAGCAAATAAAGGCATGAATAAGCCTTAAAGAATCTTGTTTTAAAACATTCGAAGACAAGTTCAAACCTCAGTTTTGTCAGAGTCATCATTTCCCAGTAACTCATCATCCTCTTCTCTCCCTGAGCCTCTTGGGGGTCCTGGTTGTTTTGGGGGTTCATGAGAATCCTCAATGCTTATCGTGGTGGCATCTGGGTTTGCTGCTAGAGAGGTGGCTGCATCACCAAATTCTGAAATCAATTAGAGCACACAGTCCTCAGAAACCTTACCTCCACTAGAAATGCTATACTTTTAATTTAGCAACAAGCTGTTAACAACCTCAAGTTTGCTGGAGACCCTACTAGATAAAAATGGCAAAAGCTCTACAAAAGAACTCATCTAGAAATCAACTGCAATGTAGAAAAATGATATGAAAGCAATATAATTTGGAGTCAGACCTGGATTTTAGTTCTGGCTCAGCTTACTAACCACATGAACCTGAATAACTTAACCTCTATAAACCTCTGTGTTCTCATCTATACAATGGGGAGAGTGTCTTTTTATCAAAGAATTTTAGGAGAGTTGGGAAGATTACTTCACCTTCTCTCCTTTGATTCAAGTTCAAAAAAAATTAAAGGAATTCATTTTTTTCCAATTAAGTCCATGTAATCACTATGGAAAACAGAGGGACGAAAATGAATGTGGAGATCACAGAATAAAAATCATTTTTGGTCCCACCAGGCAGAGGCAAACACTATTAATATTTTGGTGTTGTTCCTCTTCTTTGCACAGTGAGATTCATGCCAGTAATGATCATCCATTTATTCAACAAATATTTACGGCATGCCTGCAGTACGCTAAGTACTGATCTAGGATGTGATAATACAAAATAAACAATTTCGTATCCTGCTTTGTCTATTGAGGATTACGCATAAAAATGATCTTTTTCATATTCTAACAGTCTCTAAAGTGGTCATGTGTGTAATTGTGTAATATTCCATCAGTAAAGATTGCATTACAAATACACAAGCATTGTGTCTGTGTGGAGAGAGTTTTATGGGGGACAGCCTTGGGATGAACACCTACCACCGTGACCACTAAGTCAAAGGGTGCAAACCATTTTCAAGGCTCCTGAATCACATTGCCAAACTGCTTTCCAAAAGAACCTTACCTACGTATTTATGTCCACCAGCAGTGACTGAAACTTCCTGTCTCTGAGCATCCTAAACACTTTATTTAGCTGCACTATTTTTTTCCAGACAGAGTCTCACTATGTCGCCCTTGGTAGAGTGCCGTGGCATCACAGCTCACAGCAACCTCCAACTCCTGGGCTTAGGCGATTCTCTTGCCTCGGCCTCCCGAATAGCTGGGACTATAGGTGCCTGCCACAATGCCTGGCTGTTTTTTGTTGCAGTTTGGCCAGGGCGGGATTCAAACCTGCCACCCTCAGTACATGGGGCCAGCACCCTACCTACTGAGCCAAAGGTGCCGCCCATATTTAGCTGCTTTTTTTTTTTTTT